GTCCTGTTAATATTTCAGGAGTAATTATTTTCTGCCTTCTATAATATCTGGCAGCATCTGTATAATAAACTAGGTGTTACCTGGTTTCTGTTCAGGTGAAATAAAATATATTAGGACTATAAAATATGGATTTGAGTTTTACTGAATCTACTTCTGTGTGTTTACAGAAATGTACCTGGACCACTAAGCCTCTTGCTTTGGGATTCCATGATTTCTTCTGTCCTCACACTTCATTTTCTGTTGAGGTTTATCCACATTTGAAAATAATCCAGATTAAGCCAAAGTGTGAATTTAAAGCACAGTAGCTGTTCCCAAATAATGTGGAATAAAAGTGTCCATACACAAAGTTATTCAGGAATAGCCCTTCCTGAATAAATCAGTGCCCAAACAAGCATGGGAAAGTAGGTCCCATCCTCCCCCCCCACCCCTTATTTGCTAATTTACTGCAATTTTAAACACGTGAGAGGATAATTAGAAAAACCTGGGGTGAAGTACCTCCCTAGGGGGAATCTCTCATTCCTTGGTGATGAGGTAGTTTAGTCTTTTTGAAATCTTATACTGGCTTCAACACCTGTGTAATGAGTTTATAGCCCCCATATCATAAATTGTAATCCTAGCTGTTAAAAGAAAATCATGTGCTAAAGAGATCTTTATACTGTCTTATAAGAGTATTTTGAGACCAGCTTCAGTATGTGCTAACTTCTAACTCAAGCCTTCTTAATGCGTCGGCTTTGAAAATAAATGAGAATGCTAATGTTAAAGACATTTTACTTCATTAACGCTGACATTTTTGGATGAAAAAAATAGACACCAGAGGTTTGATTTTTCTGATATTTGATCTATCATCTTCCAAATGGCGGTTAGGCAGTGACATGGGTTTAGCAAGTTAATGGAGTTTTCTTCTTTCTGCCTTCTTTGATCAGACTCATCGTATAGACGTGGCCTTTTGCTGGTACAATCCTAGGTGTGTCTTGCTTTCTGTGCTTAAGCCAGTAGGAGGTGTGTGTAGCTTACTTTAATTGGGTGAACCAGGAACCATTGGGTGAACGTGGGGTGAACCAGGAACCGTCTTGCTTAGCTGGTTTCAGCTAGTAGTCATTCTCCACCTCCTACATTAATCCACCTGACAGCTTACCTGTTTACTTAGGTTATGATTAGGAGGGATCATTACGCTTATATTTGGTTGACCCCACGCAGAATACAGGCCATAGAATTCCTGGAGGGAATTAATTCGTTCCTACTGTCTAAATTAAGCTCTTCATGCAGTGGACTTTCCTGTAGTAACAAATCTCATATTTTTCAATGTTGTTTTTGAATCTTGTTCAATTTCTTTTGCAGTGCAGAAAATATGTATTAATTTTATACATAACTAGCATAGTTGCATTAATCTTTCATGGATTTCACAGCAGAAAAATAAGACTACTACTGTCTGTTGTATAGGAATTGGAATAACTTATAATAGTCAAAGAATTATCATTTAGTTTCTAATTCATTTACATTCATTGAAGATGCATATTTTGCTAGGAAGAGATGCCTGGGGGAAATGCTACCAACTTATAGACATATATGCAATAACTGTGGTGAAGACTGAATGCAAATAGTACTAACATGCCCCCAAAGGAAGGGGGATAAAATATGCATTAGGAAAAGTGATCTTTAAGTAGCTGTCAATTAATGCATTTTAATATGAAAAGTATTTTTCATATTAAAAAGTAAAATGTGAAAAGAATTGCTAGGCCCCTACGTAAAATTTTGCCTCTGAGATAATTTACATCACATTATGAAATAACATTTTTTGGGTTGGAATTAAAGGTCTCTGAAGATCTTTGAATCTGGTAACTGAGAATTACAATGAATTGCTTGAAAGAGATATTTGTTGACAGTAGGGGTGTGCAAAGTGGGCCTTATTTGATTCAGATTTGACCCGAATCAGGGACAGTGATTTGATTTGTTGATTCAGATCACTGTCCCTGATTCAATATGGCCGAATCTACATACCTTGAGGTACCAGCACGGCTGGTGAACGCTGCGATGCTGGGGCACATGGAGCATCTCACAGGCGGGGGGGGGGCCTCCACCTGCTCAGCGGTGAACCCGGAAATGGGTTCTGCCAGGGAGTGCGCTGTCCCCCATCCCCCCCCCCCGCACCTCCCCCAGGTCATGGGAGGACCCTGAGTGCTCCCCCCGACCCAGGAGGCACCAGTCACCAAGCCGGGGGGGGGGGGGGGGGGCC